TCTAACTCTTCCTACTGATTTCGGCATCCTACTTCGTTTTTTTTCTGTTTTGTTTGTGATCTCTTTGTTATTCCCCTTCCAGAGTTGAAACCAAATCGGAAAAGGTTTATCCGAAGACCAAACCTAAAATCGATACTCCGATAGTTTTGCGGCGCTCTTTACGTGCTAGAGGAATTCCCCCTGATGCCAAAAGTGTTTCTGATGATATTACGGAGCCGGTTACTAAGATTCGGAAGTCAGATCCCAAGTCTATGCCTTCGCGTCGTGTTTCAGGCCCCCTTGAAATGATTGAAGTTTGTAGTGAGAGGGAGTCTCATCGGTCACTGATTGAATCAATTGTAGGTATTTCGATTAAATCTCTGGAAAGCAGGTCAGTGAAGGAGGAATTAGTTGATGATGTTAAGGATTTTAAATTGGAGGAAGGCAATGGAAGTTTCCCGAAAGAGATAAAGACTGAAGGAGGGGGAAATGGGAATTGTTTGAAGATGGAACCTATTGATAATTCTCCGAATTTAGTTAATACACAGACTGAAGAACTAACTAGTGACATTAAAGGTCACTGGACGAGATCGATTAAGATGGAACATAAGAACGATGGAAGTCGCTTAAAGGTTGGGTCTTTGGTTCTGAATGCCAACAACATAGCTCGGGTTGTGCCTGGAAGAATAATGGCATTGCGGTTTTTCCCTTGTCGTGATTCTAGAATGATTGTTGTAGGTAACAAGTTTGGGGAAGTTGGGTTTTGGAATGCTGATCACCAGTCAGAGGAAGGAAATGGTGTTTATTTGTATCACCCGCATTCAGGTCCCATTTCTGGGATTTCAATTCAACGGCATGCATTGTCGAAGGTACTGTTTTTCTGGGGGAATCTAGGAAGACTTCAAAGATTAGGAATAATTTTTTGCATTTGATTTTTTGAAATATATGCTATTTTCTATGATCTGTTTTTAGCATGAAAAGGCTCTTGGTTCTTGCGTACAATAATTCGTACTATGTGAGGATAGATCGGTTGGTTCTCAATAGGTTTTATCGTAAATTTCCATTTATTTTACTTTTTTGCTGGAGTTCAGATTAAGCGAGCTTATTATTTCTTGGCAAGTTATTCTTGTGATGGAAAAGGTTCACTTAGGCATAGGTGGAAGTAGTCTTTATGTGTCAATAAATATTAGTTCTAGTTAATTGTTGAATTGCTTCTCGAGCATCTGCAACTTGTTTTCATGCCTTCTGTATTTAATGGCATTTCTTAGTAGTCAGTTGTGAACCAGATATTTGACCAAAGGAGACAATGTGCTTGAGTGATGGAAGATGCAGTTTTTAATTAAGGAAAAATAATCTGTTGATGTGTTTGGATGGTTGAAGTGGTTGATTTTGCATGGAGATTTACATCCACACTAGTCAGTTTCTTTATTGTCAACATACTTTTTATGGTTTAGGAACGGGATCCCGAATTTTGCATGGCTACTATTGCTGACATTATGCAATTAGATTTGAATCTGCTAATTATGATTTTTGTGTCATGATTTCAGGTTCATACCAGTTGCTATGATGGATTTATACGGTTGATGGATGCAGAGAAAGAGATGTTTGATCTTCTGTATCGCAGTGAATATACTGTATATTCTCTTGCTCAACAATCAAACGATGCAAACTGCTTATATTTTGCTGAGGGTCGTGGAGGGTTGAATATATTGGATAAAAGGACTGGAAACTGCCCAATGGAATGGATGTTGCATGAAGATAGGATCAATACCATAGATTTTAGTGTAGAAAATTGCAACATCATGGCTACTGGTTCTAGTGATGGAACTGCCTGTCTTTGGGATTTGAGAAGTGTTAATGCTGAAAAGCCCTTGAAGACGATAAACCACAAAAGGGCGATTCATTCTGCTTACTTCTCACCCTCTGGACGCTTCATTGCAACTACTAGGTAAATGGATCATCTTTTGGAACTTTATGATAGGGAAACACTAGTAACAGAGTCAGCATAAAAGGTAAAGGAGAGAATAAATAATGTGTCCTATAGCTCAGGTTCATTGAGTTCGGAATTACCCTTTTAATCTAGCAGTAATTCTTTTCTTCTTTTCTGTACTGTTTTTACTAGAGGACTTAATTTGGTTCATAATTTAAGCTGAAAGGGAGGGAGTGGAATATAGAGGTAGTATGCATGAAAATCTATAGTTTTGTTTGCTCAAGGAATTGTTTTCTTTTAGTATTACGTCAGAGCAACAATGAATTGGCCATTGGGTACTATAATTTTCTAAATGTTTGTTCACCTCAACTATTTTGAAAGTGCAGTTCGTTTATTCATCTCAAACTATAGCTCTTTTATGGTTACATGAGAAGAATGATCAACCCCCCCCCCCCCCCCCCCCCCCCCC